GCATGAAACAAAAGAATAACTTTTGAATAGCAAAATTATCAGAGATGAATATGATAATTTGATAGGTGTTATAAGCAAAATCGGACTTATACTACGCATTACGAAGGAGGGGGGGGGATGTCAGAGAAAAAGAGCGAGAGAACCCAGGCCTGCTAAGAGGACGAACGATGGCAATTAACAGCATATTCATCGTGCCGCCATAACTTACATATATTTAAAAAATAGGTTCCGAGCGTGGGTAGCATCAAATATAAGTAAAACTAAAATATTTAAATTACCATTATAAAAAAATATTTAATTAAATTTTTATTTTGATTATAGTTTACAAATTATTTTGCTATTACCTGGAATAAGAGGGTTGAGGGCTAAACGGCAGTCTTGGATCAACATCCCCCGCCCAGTGGGGTGTAAAAATAGGCCTAACTAAATCCGCCTAAAAGGGCAAAGCTCAACTAATTTTAGATAAGTAAGTAAGAAATAAGATGTTGCAGCTTATTTTGTTTAAGTTGATGAAGGACTGATAGTTGAATTTTCCTACGATGGTACGTGTAGGTCTAATTTTTTCATTGAATTTTACAGCTTTGCTTCTCAGAAGGTACTATCATCCAGTGTAGATTGTAGCATTGACCTCGCCTGGTCCTCATAGACTCCCATATCGGCAGTCGAGCTCAGGTAGTGTAGCTTACAGTCTCGACAAGTTAACAACTACCTTAAACTTCCACGAGTGCCTTTGGGTCTCAGGGCAGAGGTGAAGTCCAGAGACGCTTAGGCCTTTCCCATATTATATTCCTTATATACACAAGTATCACTTACAAATATCTCGTATTAAGATATGAAGTCCAAGAGGTCGTGGCCTTTTGTGTGGTCGCAGTCTCCTTTCGTTGTATGGAAGTGGTTTGACCTTGTTTTCGCAACTTGGTCTTATTGGTAGGAATACTTAGAGGAACGCACCTTGTCTAGACTCCATTGTATACATAATTATTTTCAAAGTCGGACCGTGGACGTGGTGCATTCCCAGACGTTTCGCTGGCATCGTAGTCGGCATCGTCAGTGAGTTTTGCCATTCGAAGCACCTTATATTAAAACTCGTCAGAGATAAGTTAAGCCGATCCTCTGACCAAACGTGTGCTAAACTGTTATGGTATCTCTCCTTCTGCCCTGGCCTATTCACATTCCTATATCCTCCAATCACGCTTTTACTGTCACAATTTTTTACTTGCTTAATTAAATGTGGTACGGTATGCGCTTTTGAGCGGTTTTCATGGAAACCCTCCGCATTCCACGCGGGCCTTCTCACCACCCGTCATCCTTGTGCTCGGAATGTTGATCAGAGTCTGTCATATTGTTACGCAGTACTTCTTCCCTAGGTTTTATCT